TTATAGGGTTGGAAACTATGAATGGCCCAATGGATTTTGTCCATCGTCACCACTCTTTGTGCTAATTCCCAGTCTTCTTTTGTTGGTGTCAATGCATCTTCATGCCGGTTCACCCTTTCAACTACACAGCAACCTGGGAAGTGAGTATCAATTAGGATGCGTTGGGTTTCATCCGGCGATGTTGAGTAGCTTCCGTCAGGTTTCTTTAATGAGATAGATCCCGGCGTGTTATGTTTAGCTAGGATTTTCCTTATCCGATTTGCTTGTTCACAGGTTTCTATGCTACCACAGAATTTGCGCCACTCGATATCGAGCGTCGATACCTTTATAAATTTTTTGTATTCAGACTTAGCTTTCTTATATAGAGCCAGTCTTAATCCTTTGAGGTATTCATGCCCCTATTTAGGGCTTTTCTTACCTTCTTACGTTTCCTGTCTAGTTCTTTACCCCACCACTGTTGCTTTTGCTCAGCATGTTTTGGTGGAGTGATTACTAGACATGATTCATGGTAGCTATCGATTATGGCTTTAGTGACAGCTGCTACCTGTTCTTCCAGGAGCGATTGATCTGCTGTGGTATTAGTTCCCCCAACACCCGCGAGCGATGACGTCAGACTATTGAGGTATTTTGTTTTATCCGTCTTGCGGGGATTTCTCCATGGTGGTATAGCGGGGATATCGACCTGTAGTACGCAGCAGATCCTATGCTTATATTTATGAAAATAAACGCTGTCGTACAATAATCGACCTCACACTTGCAACAGAAGGAGCAGTTAAACTAATAACGGGATGGCATGTGTCGAAAGAGGCCTCATGCTCAGACCACAGATGGATCTGGTTGGTTCAGAACCAGTATTTAAAATGGTTAGGTTAGTGCTAAATAAATATTCAACTAAAATCTTGCTTCGTTCATTAGGTTTTTCTATCCCAATCACAACCTCTAGTCCGGCCCTCTCACAGAAATTCACCATCCTGACAAGGTCGTGAGGGGGAGGGGTGTCTTCCTAAGGCATGTAGACCGAGGCGACGACTAACCTTCCCTCCTGTGTGTTTTGTAAGCGGCATACATGTCTCTGGAACAGAAATCTGTTAATGGTTTTGCACAGATATCTTTAGTAGTATAAAGACACGCTCTAGGCTTGTCGTGCTCAGAGTTGTAGAATAACTTACCTTTTAGGTTGTTTAGGCCTTTAATTTTACCAGCCCCAATCCATGGCTCTTGGATTAGAGCTATGGCCGTCCTTTGTGCCTCCAACCACTTGCGTAATTGAGCCGACGCTGTCTCACTGTGGTGGAGGTTGGCCTGCACTAGGCTAGTTTTGGACGAAGGGCACGCCATCATCGATCAAGTCATCCTCGTCCCCGCCCAAAAATAAGCCTGCCAGCAGATCCCGGGTCTCATCGTCAGCCATCGAGTCGAATTGCAGACGGCACAATGCAGTCCTCTTCGTCGCTTAGTGAGCTGCCGCTGAGCTCAGTTTCCACTGGGGGCTTCGGCTCGGTTGTGCAGGCCGTTTTTTCACTGGACTTGACATCCAGTGATTTCGATGCACCGGCAAACATGGCCACGGCATCCATGACTTCCGGGTTCTTTTCTGCCTCTTTGCTAGGTGGGGAATCAACAAATTTTCCTCCGCGACCCTGGAATTTACCGTATACTGCCCCACATACACATGCGAGATGGCGCCTGGCTTTCATCAGGGTCGAGATATGATCCTCCGGCACCGAAACAACGAGGAACCACCCGTCAGTCTGTTTGTCCGCTTTGTGTAGCAGCCAGTCCTTTTTGTTTACCCAGGGGTTCTGGTACGCCGCAAGCACACGACAAATGTCGCGTGAGTCCTTCCAAGCACCTTGGGCATCAGGGATAAGGATTAGGGATACCACATTTGATTCTTTGTGGTATCTCTGACTGTTTCTTAATAGTCAGCGAGGTGTTGGATTTGAGGTCGAGGGTATTAATATTCCCTTCAACCGGTCCAGAGCCTTCTGGTCATCACACCACAGCTTTAGGACACCCTCCGTGTAAACGGGTTTGCTTCTAAAAACCGGCCCTGACGCATCAGGGTCCTGGTTTCTCCAGGCCTCGCTGATCATCTTTCTCTGTATAGCCACGAGGATGTCATAAGCTACCTCCTTTGTGACCTGAACGCGCACACGTTAAGGCCACACCCAAATCTGCTTTAGCAGCGGAAGCGTAGCTTGTTCTTGCAACCTTTGGTTGCTGTTCAAGTCGCACTTTTTTGTGCTTTCCTCTCGGCGAGGTGGACTCCTTCCAGCATTTTTTTGGCTGCTCTATCCTTCTTTCCAGGACGCTTTGCTGCTCTCTGGTTCCTGGCGGATTTCTTAGAGATGGTTCCGGCGGCCGTGCCTACTGCTCGGGCTGGATTTTCATCCTTCCCAGTTTCAGCATGGCTACTGGTTCCAGCCCCAAGCACCGCAGTAGCAGTAGCTTGCCCAGCTCCCTGAGTGTTGCTCTTGGAAGCAGCGAGCGCGGCTCTTTCTCTGCGGCCTTTTTCTCGCTGCTTCTTATTCTTCTTTTTGACCTTCGCACCACTGCCTGCTGGGATAGACCCACCTGATGGTCCGTCGGGTCGGCAAGTTACAATTTTGGGTGCCTTGCGCTTCCCCATACGGCTCACCACTTGCCAGGCAGCAGAGAAAAGGTCTTCGGTTCTGTGGGGCTCCGCAGGAGTTTTGCTACTCGCGGCCACTTGCTCATTTTTCGCGTCCAGCTCCTTGGATTTGGAACTGGATTTAGAGACATCCAGCGCGGAAATTGCCCCCTTGGTGGGGCCACCTACTCAGAGTGGTACAGTCAGTGGAACGGCCGGTTTAACGGCGGTTCCTTCTGGTTTATCAGTGTCTAAGGTAAACACCTCTGACACGTCTCCCTCTCTACTAATGGGCCTTGTGTTGTCCATAGTTTTTGAAATGTGTAATAATTCGTCCCCCCGGCTTCCCACCCTCCATGGAGACCGCACCTTTGGGAATGCCCTACTTTATTAAAAGAATTTCAGGCGTTAGGAATACCGGGGGAATATAGGGACACAGAGTTGGCACACAGCGCGACATCATCATGCTGTTTATGTATCAAAGTCGTATAATTTTTTCCAGACCGTGTAATACATCATTACAGAAAACAGTTTTTTTGACTTGATTAGTTTGATTAATTTGATAGGGCCTCAACTAGTGTTAGCCCAGAGCCCCACAAATTCACGGTCTGCCCCTGTATGTCCGTAACAAATAAGTTGGCTTTACTTGGGAAGGACCACAGAAATAGTAATAATATTATTACGATGTCTGTTGGAAGGACCATGCTCGCATACCAGAGTGAAATAGCAACCAACCAAATTGTTAATGTTCACATTTCTTTTTTTGTTGATGGCTCGTTAACACAGTGGCAAAGCATTTAAAAGAAGCATTGCAACTGCTCTGATTCACACTTGGAAGTTGTAATGGTATTCATTTGTGGACTATATAATTGTTGTGAATCTGGTTGTTTTCCATTTGTAATTTATGAATGCAAAACGTCTCCATCACTCAGGAGTAACTCCAAGTGTGAGTAACCTTTTTTTAGTGTCCAGAACTTAGGTCAAAAAAGCACAAGCCTTCACATCTCACACAATAGGTTCACTTTAGTGTTAGTTTTATATTTGTACTAGCTTGCCAGGCAAACCTTTTTCTGCCCTTTTCGACGACCCTTTGTCATGTCCCATTAGAAATCCTTATATTCGCAAAAAAAATTGTGGGTCACTCATGGGCAAAAAACTATCCTATCTCTCAAGTTGGACCAAACTGCACACGCTGTGCAAATTTGATTAAAATTGGTTAAATAGTTCAGGAGTCCATTGCGGACAAACAACGTGACATGTAATTTATATATATATATATATATATATATATATATATATATATATATATGTATATATATATATATATATGTATATATATATTTGTAAATATCTAAATAAGAGTATTTTGTAATATTATATAGGTACTTACAGAAAACCATATAAAATTATTTTATTTTTATATTCTTGTGTCTGGACCGCATTAGGATTGTTAATGTGAAATATTATGCTAAATGATTAACAACCTGCTATATTTGCGCAAGAATTTATTTTATTTTTAACCCCCTGCGAAAAAGTGGGGTGTTTATATGTTTAACATGTGTATCTGTCTGTCTGTCTGTGACATTGTAGCTCCCAAATGGATGATCTGATTTAGAATTAGTTTTTTTTTTGGTTGAAAGGTTACTTGATCGTGAGTGTTCTTATTTATGATTCAAGAAAAGCTTTTTGTTTCTTTGATTAAAATCTACTGTTTTCGTGACAGCCTTTTTATGTCCTATAGCTGGTCAAAGGTCTCTTTTAAGTTTTGAGTGAGTTATAGAGCGATCAGTTTTTTTTAATAAAAGAGGCAATCAAGCATGTAGCTCATCTGATGGTAAGTGACTACGGCAAACCCGTGAACAACTGCAACACCAAGGGAATTATAGGTGCGTTGCCGGCCTCTTAGAAAGCAGTAAGAGTAAGTACCTCTATTCTTGAAGGTCCCTAAATCATATAGATCCACAAAAATACCTGGTGGTAGGCGATAGAAGGAAGTTGTGAGAGTTCACCGTGATGCCCCATTACATGTTGGTGAACTATAAATGTCCTCCAAATATTTTATTTCTTAGACTTGGAGGTTTCCTCACTATGTTTTTCTTACGTTGACATTTACAACAGTTGGCACGTGAAAAACAATAATTTTAATATGCAGTTAATAATTTAATTGGTGCTGGCGTGGATCGAATCCTTGAAATTTATGGCTCTTTATAAAGAAAGCATTATATTTGTAAATAATTATGTATAGTGTGATTGCAAATATTTGGAAATAATTTACATTGTTATGTCTGCGGTGCTAGATGAAATATTTAGCATAATTAAGTAAATTAGTGTCTGATAGACACCTGACCTTACTGAAAACCACATGAAGTTATTTTATTTTTTCCAGGTGAGTACCACCTGCAGCCTGGTAAACACGAGCTTCCGTTCGATTGTCAAATTCCCGCTAATTGCCCATCATCTTTTGAAGGCTCTTTTGGCCATGTTCGCTATGAGATTAAGTTTGTAGTTGATAGAGCTTTTAAGTTAGATCAGAAAAAGAAAAAGAGGTTACGGGTTATCGCTCCATTAGATCTGAATGTGGAACCATATTGTAAGGTATGTGTCATACAAAATTAACATAATTTTTTTTTTCATTTCTTTCCAGTGTGTAAACTAAATGTAACAAAGACTTAAGATTAATAGAATGGGGGATGTTATTAAAAAAGGATTACAATATTGTGAATGGTTTTTTTTATAGAAGAGGGGGCAAACAAGCATGGGGCTCACCTGATGGTAAGTGACTACCGCCGTCCATAAACAACCCCAACGCCAGGGGCATTGCAAACGCGTTGCCGGGCTTTTAGACATGATAGTAGTAGTAGAGTTTTCTTAGAAAAGTCGCCGGTGGTGAACAATTCCACAGAGAAGTTGTACGAGGAAGAAAACTCCTAGTAAAATGTACAGTGGTAGACCGCCAAGTATTCAGATGTTGAGAATGCTATCGTGAATTTTGATGTGATATGCGTTCGTGAAATTTGGCTTTGAACACTCCCCATGGTAGATACGATAGAAAACACAAAGGGATGCAACATCCCTATGCAGTGCCAGTGAATCGAGCCAATCAGAAAGCACTCGGTCGTCGAAGATTCGAATCGCTCTGCGCTGGATGCGGTCAAGTGGAAGGAGCTGGAACTGGGGTGGCCCGACCCAGAGGTGAGAACAGTATTCCTTGTGAGACCGAACTTGACCACGAAACTGCACATTATTCAATATGTCGACGCTGAAGATTCCAATGCTAGCTGAGGCAGCAAGAGGAGTGCCTTCAAATTGAGGAGATACTACAAAGAGGTTCTTTTTAGCAGTTAACGCGCAAACTTATTTCTTTTGGGGATTGAATTAGACTACATTTAGTCGCCCCCAATCCGAGACTTTGTTAAGTAAAGACTCGAATTCAGACAAAAGTTTCTTCCGGTACTCGGCGACGATTTCCCGATAAATATTGGCGCGGCTCGTATATAAGGCATCACCAGTGCTGTTGTGCGCATAACAATGAATGTTATCAGTTTGCAACATATCATTGATATGCAGAAGAAACAGCTTTGGTGATAGCACGCAGTCTTGTGGAACACAAGCATTAATAGGCCTGAAATCAGAGCATGCACCGTTTACTACGACCTTGATGCTCCGATTAGCAAGAAAGCTAGTGATACAATCGCGCAATTTCTCGGGAACCCCATAGGAAGGGAGCTTCGAAAGAAGCACTTTGTGCCAGACCCGATCGAAGGTCTTCGCTATGTCTAAACTAACGGCGTAATTCCTCCCCCTTGGACTCTACTGCCTCCGCCCATTTATGAGTAAGGTAGACCAGACGATCACCAGCTGATCGACCACGAAGGAAACCGTGTTGGCGGTCACTGATCAGCTGGTGGTCCTCAAAGTACTTCATGAGCTGCCAGTTTACAATAGACTCCATTATTTTGGAGAACAAGTAGGTGATGGCGATAGGCCTGTAGTTGGACGGATCTGAGCGGTCGCCTTTTTTAGGTATCGGGTGGATCAAAGCTGTCTTCCAAGAATTCGGGACTACCTACGCCTTGGGAGTAGGAGTACCGGAAAAGACGCAAACCGGTGCCAACTCCGGAGCACACGTCTTCAGCGCAATAGGAAGGACTCCATCAGGCCCACTCGACTTACTGACATACAGGGAGAGGAGTGCTTTGCGAACCGAGCGCTGTGTAAACCGCACATCCGGCATGGAGCACACACCGCGGGGTGGTCGGCGGTGTGTTCCCCCCGTCATCGAGAGTCGAGTTGGATGCAAAGAGAGGTGGGAATGGTTGTCGCGCACGCGAACCTTCAAGACTGCCGTCGGCCGAAGGCGTCGAAAACAGATGCCCTCTCTGATGTATACGCAAACTCCAGCCTGGGGCACAAAGGAATGTTCTAATTTGTACCCCGGGTAGGAGAGATATGAGGTATCAGCCAGAGAGGACACTTGAGTCTCGGTTAAAAAGAGCAAGGCCGGCTTCGCCGTCTCCAGATGGTAGTGAACAGCGTTAAGGCTGAAATGAAGTTCCCTGATGTTACAAAAATTCACGGATAGCGTGGCAGGGGTCCCCTTGGTGTTGTTGCTCCGCTTGCACCGAGCAGTTTTTTTCGCCCCCAGAATACGTGGGGCAGCCTAAGGACCCACGCTCAGGAAGAGTAGGATATTTTGGTTGTGGATGCTCAGCGAGGGATTCTCCTTCTCCAGGGGTGCTGGTACCCCACCTGGGGTAGTTCTTCACTTAATTCCGCTACTATGTTAAGAGTGGGGGGGGGGGAATTGGGTAATGGAATATGAGAAGAATTGTTAATTTGTAAAAAGCAGGCAAAACGTAAATGGTTATGTTTATCCATCAATTCATTCCATTAAGAAAGCTAGAATTCTATGTAATACTCCTCCTTTATTTTTTTATTTATCCTATGCAGTTGATATTTGCAATATCAGCCACCATGTAAATTAAAGCTCCATATTATCAATTTAGATATTAAAGGCCTGGCTGGTTAAGTGTTGGTATCAATTTTGCACTGCTTTGTTCAGAGTTTAATGGTGGTGTAAGAATATCCACTTCTCCATATCCTCCCGTTGGTGTCGTAAGAAGCGACAGAGGGAAACTAAAATAGAAGATTGGCAGTAGCATCTTCCTGATGACAACTCGAATTAATAAGAAACTGCTGTTGCCATCTCGCCTGACAAGCATTTTTTTTAAAGAATAAGGGTGACAACCGAGCACACTGTCCACCTGATGGTAAGTGGGTGGATGCTGTGGCCCATAGACATCTATATTTCACCTTGATTAAGAATCAAAATGCAGATGCGCTGTCACCCCTGAGGACTAAGATGGAATACCTCGATTTCAGTAAAAGGGTCTCCAGTTCTCTACACTCACCATACGAAACACAGCAGCATCAATCTGCTATTTAACGCTGGTATTCTGTGAGAGCGTGATCCTTCCTCGGTCGAGCCGACCCTTTCGCGCTACCACCATAATATAGCTGCAGCGTGACTCTAACATGTGTAAAAGTGTAAAAAGCATGTCTACTATAGCAAAATCTCTACGAGAGTGCTAGGTTGATGATGGGTGGATGGTTCTGTGTTTGCTGCAAGTGTCCATGGGCTGCTATTTAGACTTAACTTCTAAGCTTGTGCTGATCACCGTATTGACGTAAAAATGGGTGTTGTGATAGATTGTCTAAGAGACACATTATATTACAAGCATGCAAACATTCGTGAAAGAGGCAGGTCTTTTAAGGCAGTTGGGCAAAAAAATTGTCAGTAAATTATATCATCTGTCTTCAGGAACCAATGCAATTTGACATAGAAGACACATATTGCTGCTGCTGCATGAGTTACGGCTCCAGTGAGACCGTTGCTAAACTGCCTGTGTCTGGGTATTGCGCCGGGCAGGTTATACCCATTGAGTTGAACTGTACAAATCACGGCAAGGTTAAGGTTGACATCAAGCTCGCTATTAAAAAGGTAAACTTTATTTTTAATTTTTATTTTTCACTACCGATCCGCCTCGGCTTCGCACGAGTGTTTTCTGGATCTCGACAAATATGAAGTATGAGGGATAATCCAAATGTAATGATAATCGGTTATTTCCAATGCACATCAAAATCCAAAAAATTGTTTTTGCTGGCTTATGTACCCACTAATTCAGCATAAAAAAATCATTAATAGCCTTATGATTCATCATCAAAGGAATAAGAATCATCGAAGAGATAACATCAAAATGGAGGGAAACGAAATTAGAGCTGTATTTATGGTTTACGGTTTAAGACAATTATTTCTCAAAAAGAATACAATTAATTTATCATGAGAAATAACAAGTTAATCTTTAGATATTAAATACGTGAACTTATGAAGAACGGCAGGTACTTGTAAATGATCTGTTAAGTAGTAGATATGCACAATGTTTTTACTTGTTGTGGGTAATAAGAAAAGTAGTTGTACAATTACATATCGTTATTGAAAGGAAGTCTATAGCAATTACACATTGTTCGTATTTGCAAGCAATTTAGATGGTATGTATTTTTATGTTAACGGTCTTTTTTTAAATAATTGGTAAAATCAAATTAATTAAAGAAATAACATTAGCTTTTTAAATAAGTTATTGGTATTTAAAATCGAGAATTTTTTTTTAAGATGTGGTGCTTTAATTTTTCTTTGTATAAAATAAAGGACTGGATCTCTTTTATGTTATTAGGCAATTTATTATATAACTGCTCCTTCGTATAATATATTTTTTCTTCCGTAGTTAGTTTGAGGTTGTCTTAGGCAAATGTTATTTTGTCGTCTAGTAATACGTTTTTGTGTTAGTCCTTTCTTTGTAAACGTTATTTTATAGTGTATATCTCTATTTAATAATTTATGTACTAATATGCATGTATTATATTAATAAATCTGCAATAGTGTCATTAATTGAGTTTCTTTGTATGTATATATCTCTGATGCCGATATCATTTTTCAGTGGGAGTTAGATAGTGATAATGGAATAGTAGTTTGATTATTTTGTTGTGGCATGTTTATTCACCTCTATTAGGTAGTCTAGATGAGGTTTTATCATTGAGTTGTATATAAAATATCTCACTGATTTTGGCAAACAGCGAATATTACCTCGAAGCGCACCCATGATAGAAGATAGCTTAGATCTTAATTTATCTAGGTGTGGCTGCCACATTAAGTGTTTATCTAGGTGGAGTCCAAGATACTATTCTGTACTTAGTTTGGTTAATGGTTCGTTATTTTTGCAGACAGTTAAGCGATTTTCGGTTTTTTGTTTTTAGCACTGAAAATAATGTTGTAACTAGTTTTGGATGTGTTAGCAGAAAGCAAATTTTCTTGAACCATCTAGAAAGTGTATCCAAATCTTGCTGTGCTTGTTTAATGATCTGCTCGATGTCCTTGCCAAATAAAAATAAACATGTGTCTTCAGCATATAGTATTATATCACTTGACAGGTTAGGGTTATGCACATCGTTTACGTATATTATGAACAGAAAGGAACCGAGAATAGAGCCTTGTGGTACACCGCAGGCTAAAGATTCGTGATTACTTTCTATATCACCGATCCCAACAATTTGCTGTCTGTTAGAGAGATATGACTGAAACATGTCGTGGGCAGTATCTCTGATGTCGATATCATAAAGTTTTCGGAGAAGCAGGCTATGGCTAATTGTATCAAATGCCTTTTTCAGATCGATAAATATACCGTGTGCTGCGCGTTTTTCATCAATATTGTTTTTCAACTTTGTCACAAGGTCGATTGTTGTAGTTAGTGTATTAGGTTTTGTGCGGAAACCATATTGATTATTTGATAAGATATACTAAGATAATCATCAAAGCTAAAAATTTCTTAAATAGAGAAATTAACTAGTCACTTTTCCTGATTAAAAATTGGACTCACTTTTGTACTTTAAGAGGATCGGGAAGAAACAAACAAGGTAATTTGTAATAAAATTGATGTATTTTATGTTTTGAACTAATTCCGCCTAAGCTCTATAAAGTATCATACTACTTCCTCTTTTATTTAAATAATTTTATTTGCTAAAATACAACCTATAGTAGCAAAGAAAGTATTAAGATAATTACATATTATTTCTTTAACATCTGTAATTGGACCCATCTGTGTATCTAGTTTTTCAGGAGCAGAGCATGATTTTGTTTTGTTTCCAGCTAAGTTACCGATTAACATTTATTATTATATTAAAATTACACATCTTTAAAGGTTTTCTTTCGCAGTTTTTGAAGGCTTTGTAATAATAATTATTTTTAGTACTCTGAATTTGCTCAGTCACGGTATTTCGTAGGGCAATAAAGTCCTTTCTTATTAATTCGTCGTTGGGATTTTTTTTGTAAATGAACCACAGCTGATTTCTTTTGGTTATCATTTTAATTATGTCTTTATTAATCCATAATTATGTATTTAAACATAATAATTCTAATTCAAATTCTAAAATACCAACCAAATTTTAATAGATAATATATATACATTACAGATTTAAAATAATTACACTAGTAACACAAACTAGTACTTTAATGACCAAAATGATTGTCAATCATGGAAAAATAGTTTACATTTTACTATCTTTACATTGGTCCCTTCTATTTTTTTATTCGTCTGTTCTTTTCTATTTTTTCAGACCTGACAAGAAACTCTTGATGATTTCTTACGAATGTATTTAAATTTCTCTTTGACAGAAAATAGCCTTCTATGCATCCTTAAATCCGGATACTAGACACCAATCGGAAATAATAGCAGAGATCAAAAAGGGTCCTGTTCCCGGTGATACCACCAGAAGCTGGATGGTGGATATGGAGGTGCCTGTTATAGACGTGTACAACATGGGAACCTGTCGGTACATTGATATAGACTATGAGTTTAAGGTACGCGATATTTTATTAAAAAACACCGAGTTGATAAAATAAACCCGTTACAAACTCATTGTGTGACATGCTTTTCCTTGCTCCAAAAGTCACTCAACTAAGCATAGGTTTTTAGCCTAGGTAACTTTTTCAAAGAAATTTACAAAAGCAACTTGTCTTAATATGAATATGATGTAAATATCTCCCACCGTAGTCTACTATAGCTATCAGTCTATCAGTATAGCTATGTGTGTATATTTACACACATATTACACTGTACGTTCATGGAATCTACATAGTCCGAACACGCCTTAGCTACTGGGATCGTTATTGCTTAAATAAAATAAGTGTCTAAGAAGAGTGGTAAAAGAAGGGGACATATTTTTGTCAGACTTTGTGTAGGGCAGTGCTCAGGAAAAGGGGTTTACAATACATTACTTGAAAAATTGAGAGTTGAAGATAAAAATTCGAATAAAATGTATCTCCAAATGTATGTATGTACACATGTATGCAATAATATTTCAACAAAATTTACCTTCAAATCATAGAGATGTAATCACAGACCACCCAGCCTACGAGATATGAAACCATTACGATTCTCTTACTAAATAAGTCTGGCAAGGTTAGAAGTAAGAAAGATGTGCGGGCGGCGCGGTAGACGTAACTTAAAGATGTGTCACATCCATATATCCATATATAATATGGGAGACTATGAAAACGTAACGTAATTATAAACAAATGAATGATGCGTAAAGTACACCGTTAAATACATATAAAGTTCTTTAAAATATATACATGTATTTTACAAGTCATTCACAACGCTAATCACTTACCATAAATCCGTTAAGAGCGGAATGTGCCTAAGAAATACACAAACATAATACATACTCTAGAAAACCATGACTTTGCTACGGCCTCGGCCGCGACAGTTAGGTGAAAATATCTACATTAGGTATTAATATATATAAGGTATTATTAAAATTTATATATTAGGTAAATATATCTACAATGGCAAAAGTTTTCGTCGAAGTGCTATAATTTCGGCAGGCAGTAGGGGACTCAATGATGAGGAGCAATTTTTGAAGATATGGGGGTCTCCATACTTACTTACCCACCGATAAAACTCCCCATAAATCATTTTTGCCGCCGATGGGTCCTTCCTGGAGTACAATTATGTCAATGAGTGAATTAGTCAGTCAGTGAGTGGGTTTGTAAAACTATAATTTCGATTTCAAATTATAATTACAAATAGATTAATACACCAGTATAATAGAATGACTGTTCGTCTACACAAAAAATAATAACACAATAAATAGTCGATAAACTTGCATCAATACTTTTTGGGCATCTCTACTTACACGTGTCGCTTACAGCCCCTCTGATTTATAGACAGAGACGCAACGCCATGCTGCAGTTATATTAATAGTATAGTAGGAATTGGTGGGCTCGATCGGGGAAGGACCACGCTCTCACAGAATACCAGCGTAAAATAGTAGCTTAATGCTGCTGTGTTTCGTATGGTGAGTGTAGAGAACTGGAGGGCCTTTATTTCTGAATTGAGGTGACATCGCATCTGCATTTTGATTCGTATTTGAGGACAGATGTAGATGTCTATGGGCCACAGTAACCACTTACCATCAAGTGGACTGTGTGCTCGTTTGTCACCCTAGCCTATAAAAAAAAAACTATAATACTGCATGCTTGACAAAGACAACCTCAGACCAGAATACGTTGAACTTACTGGTGAAACATGATTTTATCCTTCTTGAAACTATGTTTCCTGATATCACTATCACACCATTTTACTGCACAAGTAGGCATGTTTTACTGTTTTTTTATTTTACAGAATTGTAGCGCTAAGGGTGCAGTGCACAAATCTGTTATCTTGTCACTACTAAACAGGGTAGCGTTCGTATTCAACTATATAGGCTCTGGTTGAGCAGATGACGTATAGAAATTTGTCGCTTTTCGTTACATGTCTCGTAGACGGTGGTCTGTTGATGTAATGAACTACTTTTTCTTTTTTTATTATGTGCGAGCAGCTATACAGGTCTAGGGAAAGAGAACAGTATCACCGCAACCTACAAGATCTATTGTGATCACTGCTATGGTTATAGTTCACTGCTAAGCCCTATTCTGGGCGGAGTACATAGTTTCCCAGATGATTGTTACGTTTGCGCATTAAGGGTCCGCAATCAGTTAGAATGTGCAGAGGCATTTCTTCCGTTATGGAACAGAACCGACACATCCTTGAGTTGCTTAGACCCAGGATGGACATGTGCTTTTTAAGACAACAGTGTCTAGTTAGGGCTCTTACTGGAATGCAAATTAAAATATATATCCATGTAAGTAGTACACACATATAAATTGTTTGCGTCTAAATTATGCCAAACCTTTGGAGGTGAACGCGCCCTTTTAAGACACATTCTGACAGTTTACATGTATTTTTCAAATATTGACCTATACGCTTAATCACATTTACATTTTTACAACATGCGTTCAATAGGGTTAAAAATATTTCACAAGACAGATTAGTTATTGTTAGCTTTTTTTTCTTTTGTCTCTTTTTGACATTTTCATGTTACTTGGTATTGCCAATTTTATTTGTTTATACACGTAAACACTGTTTATTTTATATCATACTAATTTATGATTCACTCTCCAGTTTCCAGACACAATAGTAAGATAATAGGATGACCCATGGGTCACGGGACAGTGAAAGCGTTAATAAAATGAATCTACAGTTTTATTGTTTCAGTGTTTCACTTATTTGTATGACGCATTTTGTCGTTCCCGTTTCTAAACGTATATGATATATCTCTAGTTTATAATGATCCTTTTAATCAGCATGTTGTGAAGTGAAACAAATTAATTGTGATCGTATGAGTTTTCTCATATTTCTTTAAATCCTATATTTATGATAATTGAATAAATGATGTAATAGTAGCTTAAAACAAGAGAGTTGAGATTATAACTCAAATGATGATAAAGTTCTGCTGGATTTGTAATCTATCTGTCTGACGTGATGCTTCTGTAATAAAATTTGATGTGGCCTGGATGCAACTTCCAAGACAACTTTGGACATTATAGGATTCTAGCTGACCCAGTATATATTGTTCTATTCTTTCTGGTTGGTAGCGCGATTAGTTCCATTCCGAATTCTCTTCGGACTTTTTACAGTATTAATATAAAATACCTAACATAAACTTAATGTGAAAATGGAAACAAGTTCGGAACAAACTACAATCGGAGTTTTCAGGTTCGCCTTTAAAAGAATGAATGAAAGAGTTATTATTTACATTCTTACATTTTTTATCATAAAACTTGTAATGTTGTTTGATAATAAATAAAATATTAATGTAAATATTATAAAATAAAATATGTCTTGAATATACCATGCATAAAATATTAAATATTAAATAAAAACCCAATTTAATTAATATAAACCTTCGGCAGAAGAGACTAAACTGCCGTTGGTAGTATCGAGGATGCCCTTCTGCATTTAAACCCGGAGCAGTTTGTCACAGAGTCCCAGTCGCCTCAGATGATCCAAGAAGCTGACCGAGATTATTATTATTGTTATTACTTTCATAATTACGCTTTTCATCTCGTCATGGCTATCCTCCCTGCTATGGGGGAAGAAGATGTCCAACTGTAGACGGTTTTTATTCTAAAGAAAATATTTTGAAATTGTTTATTATATGTTAATGGTTGTAACCTTTCTTTATTAGGTGACCGTTAGTCCTAAAGGATGCCACCGGAACAGTGACGATACGAGGCGTATTGTCATCGGCACGATCCCGATGGTCGGGCAACAGGACAATATCCCAAATCCTCTACAAGACCAAATGCCGATCTTTAATGAATCTATGTTTCCCGCGAGCTCCTACCCACCGAACCCTTACCCAGTCGAAAATTCTCCCTATCCTGGTGAAAACTCTGCATATCCGTCTCAAAACTCACCATATCCTGGCACAAACCAACCTCATCCAAGTATAACTCCGTCTTACCCCAATGCAAACCAACCTTATCCTGGTGCGGCCGCTCCTTACCCTGGCGCAACTTCGCCCTACCCCTTAAATCAGCAAATAAACAATTCACCATATCCTGGTGCATATCCCACTTCAACTATTCCGATTAATCCACCTTATCCCGCAATCAACTCGACTCCAAATCAAAGCTTGGCTCCTTATCCTCCTAACAGTTCACCTTACCCGGCACCAAACCCATCGCTAAACCCCAATGTCAGCCCTTACCCTGGTAGTCCCAATCAACCCAATGTCCAGTACACGCCGGGAAACAATCGCAGCTCAGTTTTAACCGGAAGTAGTACTTCACTGAAGACAGGAACCTTTGGATTTATTGGACAAGTTGATACTGAAGCTGTCCCAATACCATCACTACCACCTGGCGCTAATGTACCTTATCCTACTACTGTAAGTAAACAGTTTTCATTATTTACTATAACTAAACTAAATAATTTCATATAGTAGATATAACAACGTCTTTAAATTATTTTATTTCAGCTCACAAACAATCCGTACGCTACAGCCAGCGCGCCTGAACCCGCTACACCCGATGATGAAAGTAAGAACTAATTTAAATTTAGAAGACGAGAGAAAGAGATGATTATTCCTCTATTTGGAATGTTAGAAGCTAGCATGGAACAAATTGTGTAATAAAATAGAGGTTGATTGAATGAGATCAGTAGGGAATGGATTGTAGAGTGAACAAATTGTGCGTGCGTGCTTGTGTCTGTAGATTATAAATTTGTAATGGTAAATAGATTTATATTAATTACATTTGCACATTTTAAATTATTATTTAAAAAAGGCAGAAGCTTTTACGAAAATAGTTGAAAAAACATGAATAACTTTTCTTATTATAAGATGGCGCTGTCTTGCTAGCATCTAAGTAAAAAAGCTCCGTGTTTATAATTAATTTAAAAATAATTTTTATCGTATTTCCGAGTTAAATTTATTGTTAAACCGTGAATAGTGATCCAAAAAATCGGTTGTGACGTTATCAAAGACCTTAGTACTAAACTTAGTAAAAAAAAATAACAGTGTAAATAAATCAAGACTAAATCGTACACAAACTGGAACAATATCTTAAAAAAGTGTTAATTGCAGTAATAATAGATATAAACAAATAACCTTTTCGCTAAACAATATGTAAAGTGACTTTAAAACGTAAAAAGTGAATAAAAAACTTCGATACAAAGTGCACATCAAGTGAAAAAAATTCCTAAATGATTAGTCATATCAACGGCTTTGCAAAATTCAAATCTCTCATACATTGACTTATGATAGACATTTTCAACAATATCCATTGGGTCTTGGTGGTCCAATGCGTAAGACAGTTACGTATATGTAGCTGCGGAATCAAGTGGTCGTGGCTTCGAACCCACGAAGCATGGTATGTATTTTTGAAGTATTTACGAAGAAAGTTAAACTGTGAATTTAAAAAAAAAAAATATAAAAATATGGATTCAGATTCATTCGATAATGTCACATACAGGAAGCGACAAACCACTGGTTCGTTAGACTCGATAGTAGGCTTATCTATTTCGACTGATGAGCATGAGAAATCAATACTCGAAACCACTATGATGAGCTTGCCAGATAGCCTACATAACGATAGCAATAATGACATAATTAATAGTTTAAATGAAGAAATAAAAATACTTAAGATGCAACTAATGAGTGCGCATCAAGAAATAGAAAACTTGAATTGTGAGAACTTTCGATTGAAATCAGATCTACAAAAATCGTTAAAAACTGTTGAAACTTATAAAAATATCTGCGTAACCCCAGATAGAAAAAATAATACATCGTCATCATTTCGTAAAAAAAAGTACAGACAGCAGAAATTGCCTGTTACACAAGACATTGAGTTAGAAACTATAGAGGATAATAACGAAAAGAGTAACTCTAATATGTTAAATAAAGAAACACAGACTACCCTTCTCAGTATGGACGCACATACACAAACAGAACAAAATCTAAAAACATCATCAAAACAGTGCAACATTGCTAACAAAAACTTAGCAGGCACTAAATCCACATCTAAACAAAAAAAAAATAAACTGTGTATAATAAGCAGCGGCTGCACAAAGGGAACTCTGCCATTAATTGAAAAAATATTCTTGGATGATTTTGACTACTGCCATTATCTACTGCCAAATACTGCCACAAACGATTGGTTAAATAATATTGGAAATAAGCTACAAGACTTTACAATGAAAGATTACTGCTTGATTTTTATAGGTGAAAACGATATAAAAAACAACGAGCACTTAAATATATTGGAGGACCTGAAAAAGTCATTGAAAAATGCAACTCATACAAATAGCATCATATGTACACCAACCTACATAAAAGGTGCACTCATACACAATTACAGAGTCGAGCTATTCAATAATCTTCTGTGCTTAGACGTAAAGAATCAAAAATATGCCTATTTTTTCGACAGTAATTTCTCTCTGACACATGAAATGTTTTCCTATAAGACTGGAAGAATAAATAAAACCGGATGGAAGAACATCTACGAGAACATTATGTCAAATATAATGATAGATTGGGAATTATTTTCTGCCCATGACGATCAAGTAATTATCACTATGAACCAACCAAGTAGAATCAATGAATGCACGCCGCAGGAAACAGGTGAAGAAACCTTTTTTTCGTGACAACTAAACACCTGCATGTTCTACATCAGAATATTGCAGGACTAATGAATAAATGTGAAGCAATCTCGGTGAGCCTTGATGATCTATTAGATGAAAATATAAATGTGGACATCTTATGTTTTACTGAACATTTTATCATGGCGGGTTATGAATCCCTCCTAAGTATTCCAAATTATCAACTAGCAGCATGTTTTGCTCGAAAGGAAAGTAAGAGAGGAGGATCATGCATACTCGTCAGAAACGGCCATCGTTTTAAGGAATTAAATCAAATTGCAAAAATATCTGTGACAGGCATGTTAGAATGTTGCGCAATTGAACTGATTGACTATAAGATAATTATAGCATGTGTATACAGGGTCCCTAAACTTAGTAATTTTAACTTATGTATAGAGAAAATACAAATAATATTGCACACACTAAGTACGAATTGTTATGCTAATATTGTAATAGCGGGTGATTTTAACGTAGATTTATTGAAACGAAATGTACAGACTTTAGATTTTGAATGTGTCTTTATGAATTTTGGTTTGAAATTGGCAGTAAATCAACCTACTCGACTAAAAAGTCAAACATGTATTGACAACATCGCTCATAACTTTACTAAGAAATGTGTTGTCAAAGTGCGTGAATTAGGATTATCTGATCACACAGCACAAATATTCAAATTTCCTGTTCAAACAATTTTTAATAATAAATACTGGCGAGTCACTAAAAGAGACTATTGTAAGGAAAACATAAGTAAATTCAAAAGTTGTTTAAAAAGTTTATCGTTTTCGAATGTATACGAAACTTTTGATCCTAATGAAGCCTACAATATTTTTTTAGATACATTTACTCTTTACTATAAGTTATGTTTTCCCGAGTTAACTAAAATTATTAATATTGTCAAAAAACCCAAATGGATATCTCGCGGCATAAAAATATGTAGCAAAAAGAAGCGCCAATTATTATGGCAATATAGGCATAAACCAACTGAAATAAACAAAAATATTTTTACTAATTACTCTAAAAGACTAAAAATTATAATTAAGCTTACTCGGAAAGCGCAAAATAACTATACAATAAAGACCTCCGCGTGTAAATCTAAAGCAACTTGGAAGATAATTAATAGTTCAAAACTAAATTTACCCAGAGACATTATTAGAAAAATTAAAATCAACAATAATATAATCACTAAACCTAAAGACATAGCTAATGAATTTAATACATACTTTATTGAAAAAATAATCCCCATTAATAATTCTTTTAAAAATGTTACATCTTTAATAGAAAACAGATTAAACTCCTTCTTTTTAGCCCCGTGTAACCCTGCGGAAATATACAAAATAATAAACTCGCTAAGAAATACAAATAGTGTGGGTTATGATGGTCTTTCAACGAAAGTCGTCAAAGCTGTTGCTAGAGAAATTAGTGCACATTTGAGTTATATTTTAAATCTAAGCATCGATACTGGTATTTTTCCGGAGGCACTGAAAATATCGATTGTAAAGCCGATATTTAAAAAAGAAGATAAGCAACTTATGCAATACTACCGACCGATTTCTCTCATAAGTATTATCTCTAAAATATTTGAGAAACATATATATAAACAATTATACACTTATCTTGAGAAGAATAATATACTAACTCAGGAACAGAAAGGCTTTCATAATAATAAAACAATAAATATGGCTATTTATGACTTCTTGTATAAAGTCATGATAAATGTAGACAAAAACATTCCTGTTAGCACCATATTTTGTGATATGACGCAGGCGTTTGACTACGTCTCTCATAACATTTTGATTAGGAAGTTAGAAGCTTATGGTATCCGTGGTAACGTTTCGCGTCTCATAGAATCATATATTACGAATAGAAAGCAATATACAGAAATAACATCAGTAAATACACACACCAAACATGAAGAAACTTATCGATCATCAGGTCGAGTAGTTAAATATGGTGTGCCTCAAGGCAGTGTCTTGGGACCTCTATTGTTTATTATATATATCAATGACTTACCTAAAAGCATTAACCAATACGTGACACTATTTGCCGATGACAGTACCATAACTATACCTTATAAAAATAATGATACCTATAATAATGACATTAATAATTCCCTAATATCAATGATAAAATGGCTAGAAAATAATAATTTAAAAATCAATTTGGAAAAAACTAATATTATGCACTTTACACAAAGAGGATCTACTATGTCAAACCTACATACACACTACAATAATAAAATGATTAATGAGGTAGATAATGCGAAGTTTCTTGGTGTAATTATTGACAAAAAACTCAATTGGAAAACACACACAGAAGTCTTAATAAAAAAATCAGTAAATCTTCTTACGCACTCTATAAATTAGTACCAATGCTCAATATCGATGCCCTTCTTACAGCGTACCATGGTTTAGTTTCCTCCATTCTTAGATACGGCATTATCTTTTGGGGTAACTCTACGAATAAAGAATTAGCATTTAAAGCCCAGAAGCAATGCATAAGGACCATTTTCAAACTAAAGGTCACGGAGAGCTGTAAACCATTTTTCATACAATATAAATTATTGACATTACCCTCACTTTATATTTTGGAAAGCGCAATTTTCGTTAAGAGCAATCCTAACCTATTCCCACGCATGTCTGATACGGTCGTTCGTAATAGACGTGATAACAGTAAACTTCGTCTACATAAATCAAAAACTTCTTTAATGAATAACAGCATATTTTGCATGGGCCCAAAAATATATAATAAAATTCCTAAACGCTGGAAAGAACATAATAATAACATATTTAAAAATAAATTAAATAATTTCCTTGCAAATAAAGCCTACTACAACATTAATGACTTTCTGCAAGACAACATTGACCACTAACTGCTATAACATATAATATCTACATTTATATAAATTATTACACATTATCTTACTGCTAATTGAACATAATAAAGTAGAATTCATAAAATAACGAAAGTAATAATATACGAAATTGACTAATGTAAGAATATAACACTAAGAATTTGTACAATCATTTGGATAAATAATGGTATGTTTTAAGTACTAGTATATTTAAATATATAGATTCTCTTCTCTAATGATGTTTGTTTTCAGTCTTAATGATTATTATATAATATATTAATACTAAATAAGGAGAAGGCCAATTAGAATTGTAACTTTTTTTATTTATTTTTTAACATTTTGTACGCCGTAGAGGCTAAACATGACTGTCGAGATATTTCTTTTAACATCTTGCATGCATATGTATGTATACTCATGTTTAAACAAATAAAATGATCTTTATCTTTATCTTTATCTTTATGTTATCCTCGTAATATTTTCAATCATTTATCATTTATTACCCCATATTATTATCCCGTGGGTGCAGTAGGAGGCGACAGAGGATAATTTTAAACAAGGGATGGGCAGCACCATTTTCCTGGTAACAATTGAAAATAATAAAACACAACTGCGCTTGCCAACCGGCCTGCAAGCATGGCAACTGTGGCATAGTCCCCCTTTTAACGCAATCTATGGAGGAGACCTATGTTCAGCAGTAAACTTTGGTATGCAGTAATGAATAAACATGGTAGAGCCACTCTGCAGCTATATTAAGGTTGCAGCGAGAATGGTTCATCTCTCACATAATATCAACGTGAAATAGCATCTACTGTGTTTCGTATGATGAGTGTAGAAAACTGCCTTTTTACTTTAACTTCTCAAACCCCAAATGGTCGGATCCAACCACGTCGATATTCCGTAAAATCCCAAGTGCTCAGATACGACCACACCCACCACAGCACTTTAACCCATAAATACTTATGTTTAGAGACTACTTTTATATGAAGAAGTTTAACATTATAGAATCAATATGAAATTTTCAATCCTCTAGTGGAATAAAAAGTCAGTTAGTGGACATTTATTTATAATCTTCGTTCATTTAGTACGCTCATGTTATTGTATTGATTTTTAGATTTTTCTAGTATTTTATTATAGTGTTTGATTATAAAATTGTAATGAAAGTTTTTGTGTGAATATAATTTATCTTTTTACGTAAATAATTTCGAGTAATATATAGAAATAATTGTGATTTTCATGCTTCCGACATCCGCTTGTTATGTACTTTTTTTTAAATCAAAATACAATAAAATCTTTTTGTAATGAAGTAAAACCTGACTTTTGTTTAGACCACAGGATAGAGAATTTTGTATAGATTTTATATACCCAAACTTCTTCATAGTAAAGTAGTCTCTAAATATACGTGTTAATGGTTTAAAGTGCTGTGAGTGGGTGCGGTTGCATGCGACCGCTTGGTATTTGACGGACACATGCGACTGCATGGGATTATTATAGGAATTGAAGAGTTAAAGACATTCCGTCTTTGTCTTTAACAAAGTATCTACATTTGGATTCTTAATTGAGGATAAATGTAGATATCTATGGGCCACAGCATCCAATTACCATCAGGTGGACTGTGTGCTCGTTTGTCGTCCTTATTCTATAAATAAAATACTATTTAAAATTATATTGAAAAAGTACTATCAATTGATACTAATTAAGTATTCTGAATGTTCTTTTGTAGAATAAGTGTGACAAACTAGCATGCAGTTCATCTGCGAAGCACAGCGGCCTTATTTTTATTTATTTTACTTTATTTTACACTAATATTCTTTGCGAGCGTGTTCCTTCCCCGGTCGAGCTGACCCATTCGTGCTACAACCATAATACAGCCGCAGTATGACTTTACCATATAATGCATGATAGTAATCATTTAATCGACCATGATGCACGCGATGTATCGTGTTCGTGCGCCATTGGCGAGCTTACCACACGTGATATGATGGGTGTATCATGCTCACTGAATGACTAAGTTTATCGTACTATTTTTGAAATATAAGAAATGAAAAATTATCAAATTTTCAGAAAAAACTGAAGTGCCTTACAACTCCGAATACATCAGCAAGAAGGATGAAAAATGATACTCATTGGTGATATTAATCTAAACCAATATTTACTGAACGCATTTTAATGCTTTCATATTTTTCGGTGCTTTTTATAATGCATGTTTTATTCTTTACATAACGTATATCTTTATAATAGTTTAATGAATTGCATAATTGTTATTGTAGAATAAGTGCAAATGTAGTGTACTGTCCCAGTGTCTAATTCCAGGTTAAGATAATATTTGCTTATAAACACTCCCTCTCTCTGAACACTACATCCAAGTGTACCTGCGATCTTATTTAAAGTTTAATATATTGTCAATTAGTACTTATTTGGTGGGGCTTTCCTAGGAGTCCTTTTGGATAGATTCTCCCCAGATAAACGTCCACTTTAAGTGGCTTCTGTATCAAATACAGAAAGCATAAATAATAATAATAATAATAATGTCTTTCACTCTGAATTTCGGTCAAGGTGGTCTCTCTTAACTGAGACTAGACAGTAAATAAACCTTCATAGAACATTGATTCGTAATAGAATATAAATAAGGTGCAGAAATCGAGTGTCGACAGAGCGAGAATATTCAAATACTTTGAAATCTTGCGAGTATTTTGGGTCGGTATTTGGTCGGCGTATCTGCAAGATACGTTTCCCTAGTGTGTGACTGTACAATAAGACGACGATGTAACACGACCGGAGACGTAACCTGACCCAATAACTGATTTAATAATTGATGATCTAGAGACGCGCTTACGGCTACCAGACCATCGAGGTAGTCAAATAAAGTATAAGGTAAATAAAGTATAAAATATACTAAGACTAAGCTCGTCTTACAGTTTCTCATTAAAATGAATCTCTTATTATTTAAGTCCGGATTTGACAGTGATTAATGATGTTTGGCAGAAATCAGTTAATTTGAAGAAATGTTTTATTAAAATTTTATACAACATATTTACAGTCATATATAAGAGAATGAATATATGAAAATATTTTAGAGTTATATTTTTACTCTTCGTATTCTAGTATTATTTAATATAGAAATGTGTCATATACCCAAGTGCTTTTACACACAAATGTTATTTATTAAGAGATTAATTAAGAAGCATTCAAAATGCAGTGCTATAAGCAACAAGAAATAATTATTCTAAGCATAATTTGTGTCATAAGATCAAAGATCTATTGTTATATTTTTAAAATAGCTGCAGTTTGTGTCTAGTGTATCGTGTCTTTATTGTTATTTATTTTAATTTCCGTTATTTTCAAGTCGTGTATGAACCGATTATATGGCGCTTAATCGGTTCTTACACATTACGTTATGTAAGAACCGATTAAGCGCCACTTAACTAACTGACTAAACTGAGAAAATGAGCTTCAAAAATTTCAAAGTTAAAATTGTCGTGCATACATTTAATATGTTTAGAGTATAATTTTTATTCTGAAGATACAAAATGTGTACAAGTTTTCATTAGTTAAAAAAATATAAGGCTTATACAATACAGTTTCGTAGTAACAGTCATTTTTCCGCTTAATTTGTTAATGTGTTTAAGTCATATTCAGATAATTTTATTTATCAATAACGTGCTATATTGCATTATTGTTGTTTGATACTTTATTCGATTTGTTTCGGGTGAAATTAATTGGACAATAAGATTAAATCCAGTTATTTTAATAAAATATACTTAATTAAAACCAAATATGTTGTAACACTTCTACATCTTACTAATACTTTTTCTTCTATTTATTACCTACCACTGTATCATTTTTCTTTTCATCTTCTACAACAATACTACTACTTCAATATCAATAGATCCATCAAAACCTTCAACATCATCTTCTAAATCACGAGATCCAGTTAAATTTTCGTAATATTTTCTCGCATCAGATGGGACGAGGTGAAGGAGGAATTTTATATCCTCTAGCTTTGGTTGAGAAATAGGTTTGCCTTGTGGCCAAAGTTGCTCATAATGTCTTGATAACGTCAATGGGTTATTTATTGCCCTTCTTTTTGGTTTTTTATTGAGATCTACTTCATGGGTTTGACCGCCATGACAGGTTGAGAGAAATATCCGACTAGGTCTATTCTTAAAAATGTTTATTTCTTTAGTTTTTAACCAGCTTATAGCATTTCCTTCTATATCTTTTTTTCTATTAACTATGGTCTTCATCATTTTAGAAACTCCGACAAAGTCTAACATTCCATTTTAGTAGCTGTCAACTTGTTTCTCGCACGACAGCTGGTCATCACATCAATGTAGTCTTGTAGAGTGTATAGCCGTGTATGGGTTTTTAAAGCGGATTCGATAGCACTAAACTCGCTATCATTTTCTAAGTATCTATGCCCAGGAACCATAAATTTAAGGGTGATTTTCTCTAAGTTGTCATTTTCTTCTAATACTGTAAATTGTAGCAGAGTGAACTTAATATTTCGGTTGTGACCACCACAGGAGTCTGAATACAGAATGAGTACTTTGACTTTTGAGTCTAGATTTAAAGATATATGTTTGCGTAAAGTGGAGCCTACTTTTGCTCCACTGCCTGGTATTCATTCCACCCAGACGTAACAAAACCCTTCACCGGTTTTTCCTGTATGCACACCGCAGTTTTATAGCCACAGTTGGCGTTTGTAAAACACTATATTCGTGGGAATTCTTGGCAGTGGCAGCGTCTTTTCCATATGTTTTCAATATGATCATAAATCTTAGCCAATGTCGTCTTGTTTTTTCAATGCACATGCGTCTTCAGCATCTTTATGGTGCTGCTCTCTTTCCTTCTCTAAATTTAATTTGGTTTCTTGTTAAGTGGTGTCTCAGCTTATTACACGTGTCTTTCTGTGGCTTTTTCCTTTGTAGATTAAATTTGGTATAAAATATTCTTTTATACGATGCAAATGAAACTGTCATTCTTGATTAATCAGAGCTTACATCCGATAAATATAAATCGTACATTTTCGACAAAGTCATATCCAGTAGATTTACTACATCCACATCCTATCTGCGCTCTACAGTAATGAGACTTATATTTTGCGAATTTGTCAATGTGTTCAATAATACTTTGTTCAACATCCTGAGTCATCTTACGAGTTTTTCCTGATATCTTCCCCTTTTGTCTTCAATTTTTTCCGAACTTGAGCATTTTTCAACTATCTGTCAATTCTTGCAGATGATATTCTTAAGGTATCGATAAACATTTTGGCACAAACAACTATGTTTTTTGAAGACGTGTATTATTTCTTTTATTTGAATTCGTGTTTCTTTTCCTTTTTATGGATGTCGCTTTTACGTTGGAAGATATATACAAGCACTTTCCTTCAAAACATAACTCCCAAAATTTTGACAATTCTTCTTAACGCTCTCTTACCGATATTTTTTCATGACAACCATCGTTACAGCGAACATCGATAAACTTTCGTTGATTGACGACTTCTTCCTTTTGATTTACGTATTGATTGTTAGTTTCACATAACTTTTTACGAATTTGATCAGGATCTTTAACGGGTTTGATCAGGATATTTCATTTTTCTGCCCTTTTTTGTTCGGCCAGTTCTATTTCCATTTATTATTGGTTCAGATATCATCGGGTTCCGTAGATCGCCTTCGCCGTGATTGCCAGTTGATATTTCTGATATAGTCATAAGTGTATTTTCTTCAGCTAAAACACTAACTTCAGACGTAGTCATATTATTGCTTAGTATACTGGGGCTATCGTCACACAGTTGGACTGTTGATATAGACAAATCGATGTTTGTGAGATCCGCATTTTCTTGCTGAAAACATTCAATTAACTGTTTTGTTGTGGTTCTTGTTGTAACTTATAGTTTGAATTTGCTGTAGTATTGAATTCTACAGAATCTAAATACCTTGATCCTAAGTCATAATTTACATCTAAATTAAGTTTTGGTAAGCATCATTTACTTCGGCACAGACGCTTATATTATTATTTTCGTTATGTTCTTTTGTTGTATGAACAAGATTTAGGGAGTTAGATACATCTAGTAATACTCTTTGTTCATTAGCTTCCAATAACTCATCTTCATGTAAAACATTGTAATGGTTAGCCTCAGATACTCCTGTTATCTGAAATATAAGACAAGAAATTATCATATTGAGCGAACTATCTACTGCTGGTTAAACGTTTATTATTGTACAAAATACAGGGTGGGCCACGAATTAGCTAACATTTAAAAAAATCGTATAAAAAAATCATTTGACATATTTTAAAAATTGTTTATTTATAAGAAAGCTTGTTACTTGGAATTTATTTTTTTTTAAATAATATCATCTAAATGGCCACCGTTTCGACTTTTGCACTCTTCTAAGCGAGTACCAAAATTTTCGAATACTGGACGGCAAAGAGACTGCGAAATTGCCGACATTTCTTCGCTGATTTTATCTTTTAGTTGACGTAGTGTACTTGTTTTATGGATGTAGATACGACTTTTTAAATACCCCCCATAAAAAGAAGTCTGCTGGGGACAGATCTGGGCTCCTGGGTGACCAAGGGATGTCGCCTCGTCTGGAAATCAGCTTTTCCGGAAACATTTCTTTGACCACCGGCAGGGACTCGTTGGATGTGTGATAAGTGGCCCCATCTTATTGAAACCATGTGTCACGCCAGCCAGCAAATTCCAGCAGCATCGGTGTCAAGAACTCCCGTAACATTTTCACATACTCAGCAGAATTAACAGTAACCGAACCGAATGATTCCTTTTGCCGAAATTGCAGCCCATACAGTTACCTTAGGAGAATGAAGTGGCCACGCGTGTTTAGCTTTAGGATTTTCACTGCTCCAATACCGGCAATTTTGTTTGTTGATGTTCGTTTAGGTGGAAATGGAAACGATCTAACATTGTTTCGGCATACGACTTATGCAGATTCAAATTATTAGGTTTTAGTTCTTGCACTACCTGGATCTTATATGGATGTAACTTCAAATCTAATTTCAAAATACGGCGTAATGATAATCCTAATTCGATAAATCTGGATCACATTGAACAGAAGCGGAAACTTGCTGCACCTTCCCTTCGCTCCGAGAAGTTCGTGGGCCGCCGGTTTGCTTCACATTTAGTGAAGATCCCGTCTCTTCGAACTTCTTCACCCATTTATTTATTAAAGGAGCACTCGGCCACTGACTTAAGTCGTGTAGATAGTATTCAACGCGAAATAAGCGTCTCACAGTAATGAGCGAATTGCTGTTTAAATAAAATTGTTTCACACAGTAAGCGCGCTGCGGCCCCGTGAAGTGATCCATTGCGACTAAATTTCCATGAAACGAGCTAGTGGCAAGACCCTCCGCCGCGCCCCGCACGGCTTGTGTTTGCGCGGGGTGTTACATTCAAATGTTAACGAATTCTTAGCCCATCCTGTATATAATTTATCATATTACACTATTCAATAGCAAGTACATAATTTTATTTTAACGAGTAAAAAGGCAAGAGGCAAGGCAAGCCTTTTCATATACAAAAATAATCACGTAAATCAGCTAAATTTCTACACATATACGCATCGAACAAAGAACCTCATCTGTTTGTAAAGCGGTTCAAGTCACACAACCACACTCTCCACGTGCTAGGCAAAACCTCACATACTAACACCAAATTCATTATCTTCCTGATAACAAAAAACTGTCAAGATCTCTCCTATGAGGTAATCTATAGCGAAGGCCTATGTTCAGCAAAAGATTATAGACTAATGGATAAATGATTCTCGATAGTTGCGCCATTTTTCTAACGACTGCCTTTGACTTAAACTAGATTATTTTTTTTACAATACCATAGTAGCATTTTGCTGTGATATAAAGGCAGGTACTTTAATACAATAAGGTTAACAATTTTGTCAATAATTATTACAATATTTGATATTTTTGCAATTTATGGGAATTACATGACCTAGTCATGCCTAAAATTATAATCACGAGTGTCTTTTGTTGGTAGGCTTTCCGAAAGCATTTATGAATGGATAATTTTTATAATTGACAGTGTTTGAATTGTTTTAGATTTTACATTTAGATACATTTATAGTTGTAAGGACATAATATTTTATATGCGTATTTCGATATGTGAATAGCTTTTTATTTGTTTTTACGACACATTTATCGAAGTATTTTTTATAATAAATGTTTATTACACTGTATTTGCTTTTTATTAAAGTTTCAACATCTTCAACATTGAAGTATTTACTAGGTACTAAAAGAGACGGAATGTTTGCAACATGAGTTTTTTAATAGAACAGGGGGCAAAAAAGTATGAGGCTCATCTGATGGTAAGTGTCGACCGCTACCCATGAATAACTGCAATGCCAGGAGATTTGATTGATGTTGCTTAAAAAAAGAATAGGTTCTTTTTTTAAGGTCCCTAAATCGTATTAGTCCGGAAAAATCGCTAGTGATAGTTGATTCTTGTTAAATCGCTAGTGATGGAGTTGACAAGGGAGTTGTGCGAGGAAGAAAACTTCTTGTAAATCGCACACTGGTGGACCGCTAATCATCCAAATGGTATGGATGGAATCGTGAGTTTTGTTGCGCTTGCGATGTGCGATAGTGAAACTGAGTGGCTGGAATTTGTCCCAAAAATTCCACGGAGAACTCCCCGTGGTAGATGTGATAAAATATGCAAAGAAATGTAACATCTCTTCGTAGCGCCTGTGAGTCAAGCTCAGAAAGTGGTCGGTCGCCGAGTATTTGAATCGCTCTGCGTTGGATGCGATCAAACGGGAGGAGCGGGCTCTGGGAAGCCCCGGCTCTGAGATGGGAACAGTGTTCCAAGTGAGGCCAACCCTGCGTTAGAGTCCGCGGGCTCAAACTTAGTCTGTGCCATAAAAAGGTACTCTGTGCCTCCTTCCACGCGCCCCGTACTACCGCACCGAGTTTGTTCACGCTGTGTGTTTTAGTACGTACTACTTATTACTGCAATGGAAACCAATAACGTTCTTGACTTAAGACGCTTGCCCTAATTTCTTAATAGGCCAGCAACCAATATAGTCATTGAGAGCCCTGTGGCACGGGTCTTGCGCCACACTTGGCCTCCTATTGTCATAGACCAATACTACACCACGATGGGTTCGGGACAACGAGAAGCCCAAAAGTTCTTTCTTCCACAGACCTGTTTTCATAAAAGAAAACATGGGCGACTAAGATGACGGGCCCCCTATGGAAATGGTCCCGGTCTTGACGCCTGTCGTATGTGGACTATCCGGTCTTG